GTGCAGCTTCCACTTACCGGTTAGAAGACACCACTGCCCAACCTTTCCCCATCCCTGTCGGGTGTCCTGTGCCCCTACCTGTCTGTCTGTCCGTCTGTACCCCCCAGAAGTATTTTGCCACATATAAAACCGCCGTCCTGTCCTTTGCAGCCGCCTCCTGAGCCTGGTTCCTTGTTCCTGCCACCCGGTTGCCAGCCTGGGCATGTGGGAGCTGCCTCCGTGTGGGGGAGTGTGAAGGGGTGGGTGCACAGAGAAGCTGGGCTCCGAGTTGCTTATTCAACAGGAGAAACAGTGCTTTGTTTTGCAGCTCTCTGATGCATTGCGGTCACGCTTGATGGGAGCTGTGTGGCCAGTTTCAGCTGCAGCTTCCCATTCAGCCCCAAGTCCTCCCCGTTTCCCCAGAAGTTAAGCCAGAAAAGACAGCCAACGTGGAGAAATGGGGTGTCACAGGCATTATTCAGTGGGTGAGATCCAGACTCACTGGCACAATGTCTTAAAGACGTGTGCTTGTTTTTTGGCTCCTGTGGCCCTGCTGGTGCCTGATACCTCCTAAGAGAGTGGCTGAGCTCCTGGCTCCTTCCACTGATGCCCCTGATAGCTAGCTTTATGGAACCCAAGAGGTCTACTAGGGGGACGGTCAGAGAATGTGGGATCCCCCAGCCCCAGCCTAAGAACATCAAGAGTGAGAAAGTCAGCCGGTGACTATGTCAATTCCTGTCATCACCAGCTGGCAGGATGTGGACCCCTGGCAGTTGTCAACTGCTGTCACCTCTATAATGCCTCACAGGGCACTCAAACCATTACTCTCCTGGTTATTGTTTCTGGGGTGGTGGACCTGGATGACTAGAGCTCCTGGGTCCCTCACCTGAATGCTTCTGCCAAAAGGGTGTGGGTGTGGTGTGGTGTGTAAAGGGCACCAGACATCTAGACCTTCCAGGTGAGGGGTTAGCAGACCCAAGAAAAGGAACTAGGTAGGCCCAAGGCCTCAGGCATTTGATGGCAAAGACTACTGGAATTGGAGTCCAGTCTCTGCCTCCCAGTCTAGCACTCTTAGCCCACTGCCTTTCAGTAGAATCAACCCTTTAATCCCGTGTTTACTCGTTGAGCATTTATTGAGCACCTACCACGTACTAGGCATAAGTCCAAAAGGCAGCCACAGACAACTTAGGACAGCACAGAGAGCTCTCCTGCTGTGAGCAGTCCTGGGTCCTGCAGGAGCCTGGAAGAAGGGTAATTCCCTTAACCTGAGGAGGCCAGGAGAGGCTTCTTGGAGGAGGTGAGGCTTGAGTGGAGTCTGGAAGGCTGGTTAGTAGTTAACCTGGGGGGAAGTGTTGAAGACAAAGGAAGCAGGTGACATGCATGGCATGTTCCTGGCACTTCACCAGCAAAGTGTGCTCTCCAGGTGGTGGTCCGAGAAGGGTCGGCAAGAGCAGATCACTGTCGTGTTGAGTTTGGGCTTTGTCCTGAAGCTGGTGTGCAGAGACTGAAGGATTGTAAGCAGCAATGGCAAAGTTGCCTCAGTTGCGGATGGAAGCACAGATTGGGAGGGCTTAGCCTGGACCCAACTGAAATACTCTGGGTAAGAAATAAGGGGGGCTTCGCTAGGCCACAGCTGTGGGATGGGAAAGGAGGCAGTGGCTGCCAGAAACATTGAGCAGTTAGAATCCAGAGCTTTTGGAGAGCAATTGGAGGCGGCCAGTGAGAGACAGGGAGGTGTCTGGGGATGGCTGTGGGTGATGGTCTTCCTGGACATAGAGGAAGCAGGTGGAAAACCCAGGTTAGAGGCAGAAACAATGTCTAGCTTTTAGACACAGAGTGTTTATGGTGCCTGTGGGAGGACACCCAAGAGAAGAGCAGAAGACAGCTGGGTGCTTGGTCTGGAGAATCAGGGAACTGCAGAGAGCTCCACTGGGGGTGGAGCCTGATATTTGGAATCAAAGGCAGGGATTATTAACTTCAGATAAAGCTCAGTGAGGCTAAGCAACTTGTCCATAGTTACATGGCTATGGAGCAAGGACCTGAACTCCAGTCTTTGGGGTTCAGGTTCTGTGGTGCCTGTGAGCCTCGGGTCTCGTGCTAATGGCCCTGCTGCAGCATCTGCAAGGGGAGGAGGCTTGGGGAGGAAGAAGCAGGTGTCTGAATATATGTTTGTCTCCTCTTCGTGTGCCTTCTGCCTGAAATTGCATTTGCCCGGAACTCGCAGGCGGGGGCATTTCTAGGTGGCTTGGAGATCTTGAGAGATGAAGCAAGAAGATTCTTGTCTTTTGGTAACCACAAGCCCTCAACTGATGTGCATTTAGCACGTTGGTGGTTGTCAGCATGTGAGGATTTTTTTTTTTTAGATTTTATTTATTCATGAGAGACACTGAGAGAGGCAGAGATGCAGGCAGAGGAAGAAGCAGGCTCCCCACGGGGTGCCCAATGTGGGACTTACTCATAGGACCCTGGGATCATGCCCTGAGCTGAGGGCAGATGCTCAACCACTGAGCCACCCAAGTGTCCCAGCATGTGAGGATTTCAACAACCATGAAGTTGACTGGGATTAGGTCTGGAGAGGCTGGTACTACCATCACAGCCACCTCAGGGAGTTGGGAACTGAGGCACTGGGGACCCCTCTTATCTGGGACCCCTCATCTCCTTCCTTGCCTAGTAGCTTCTGCCCAGCTTCTGAGCTGAGGTCTGAGAGGCCTCAGTCCTGGGTGTGACCTCTATAGCCCAGGAGGAATGGGTGTTCCAGCTGGTACCCTACAGAAAAATCTTGTCTTAGCTCCAATAATCACATCCTCAGAAAAATGTGCCTTGACTCCCTTCTAAATCAGGCCTTCCTACCTACTGTCTCTCAGGGGTTTGTTTTGGTTTTATTTTTTGACGTGTATATTTCTCTCTCCCACTAGACCGTAGGCTCCAAAAGACCCAGACTGGGTCTGTTTTGTCTCCTTGGCCTATTTCCTAACTCATATTTGTTAAATAAATGAATGAGTGCCCCCTAGGACCCAGGCACCAGGCCTGGCAGCAGAGGCAGCTCTTGTCTATTTACTGAATATGTTCCAGAAAGCAGAATGTCACTTTCAATTCTGCAATTCGTAGTGATAGTTCGGGGGAGGGGGGGTGCAGGATGCACTAGGGGGTTCCTCCCCCCACCCCGGAAACAGATGGTAAAAGTGCTTAAAATATTGCTGCTTCCCCAGCACCCTTCTGTGCCCCCACCCTATCGCACCCGGCACTCCTTCCCTGGGCTGAAATGGGCTCTGGTAGACAATTCTTCTTCCCTCTAACTCCAAGCACCAAGGCGGTTGGGATGAGAATTCCTTATTTAGCCAACTGTTTTCCCTCTTCTCTCCATTCACTTCCCAGCCTTCCTCATTCCTCTTCAACGTGTGCTCACACTTCTTTTTTAATGTTCCAAACACCACTTCTCAGGCTATGGCATAACTCCTTGTACTTCTCCCCAATAGCAACACGTTCCTACTGTGTGCCAGGCACTGGACCAGGCCAGGAATGTGCAGGGGAGAACACAAGCGAACAAGACATGAACCCCACCCTCCAGGCCTCACAGCTGATTGGCCGAAGCAGGCCAGTCTACAATCTCAGGGTAGAGCAAAGCCCCACCTACCTGTCTGGAGAACCAGGCCAGGGCTTGGGGAAGTGGGTGGCTTTTATGGCAGGGAGTTAAAGGCTTTTAGGAATCCTTTCTGAAAAGGTGAAAGACATTCAGGTGGAGGAAACACAGAAGCAAAAGCACCATTGGAAGGAGCTGGACGTCTGTGGGTAAGGACCAGTAGCTGCAGAATGTGGAAGATCACGTGTAAAGGCAGGTGGGGCTGTTCACCAACTCTTGAATGTCAAGGGGGTGTGTGTGGCTGATCTGAATCCAGTGGGCATTAGGGAACCATTGAAGGTTTGTGAGCTGTGGAGTGACAGACTGTGTTTTACAAAGGTGAATAGGGCTGTGCTGAGTCAGGGAGGCAGAAGCACGGAGATGAGTAGGTGTTGTTCCCTTGGTGGAGAGGAGCACAGTAGGTGGGCCATGGCAGTGGGGCAGAAGGAGTTGATTGTTCCATGTGATAACTGGCTTCTCCTAAACTGCCCCTTCAGCCTGAGGTTGGCTTGCCTTTTCACTTCTCTTTTCGTTTTCTGGTTTTTTCCCAGTTTAAACAAAGAAGGAAATTCACGAGAGTCCCCTCCTCCAGCCTGGCTCTCTCTTGGCTCATGTTCTCTTCTGCTGGCTCATGGCATCCGGTACCCCCTCTGTAGGGTCTCTGGTTGAGATCTCTCTTTTGGCTGCATCCATACCTTCAGTTGTCCGTCCCCGGGGTCTGGGAGCTGCGCCTGAGCAGTCGGTTTGCCAATGAGTCATAGAAGCAGTACTGATTTATTCCTAGGAGTTGCCTGTCACCAAGGGACCTACCAGACAAAGGGAGACCCTGCCCTTCCCTAAGGGAACTCACCTTGAGTGAAGTGGCCTACAAGACCCCTACTAGTGAAACCACTAGAGACCTGTTGCGGGTAGGAGCATTCTCTCAGTTCAGAGAGGATCAGTGAGCCGTCTACTCCACACAGCTGGCAAGTGCAGAAGGTAGAGTTTTGCTTCAGTCTAGTGCCTCAGACATGACACTAGGAGAAGGGAGAGCTGGGCCCTGGGAGTGGGTCGTTGTGCTAGGCCTCCTTGATGGGGGGTAATGGGGTGGGAGCAGTTCACCCAGAGAACCTCTGGAGTTTTCTCCAAGCAAAGAGGAGATGTGGAGTCTGGACCCCATTTTCCATGCACCTCCAGGCCTCTAGACAAATAGCCAGTTCGTTGTCATTGTGACATTCATAGCACTTGCGAGGGGCCAGGGTCCCAGGGGATTCCCAGGTTCCTCAGGTGACTCGCTGGGCTTCTGTGATCTGGTAGGCAAAACTCGCTCGGCCCTCCCCGGGGGCGGGGTTCCAAGCACCCTGGCTCGAGCGGGGTCCCCCCAGGGTCGCTGAGTCTTTCCCTTCTCTGGCCTGAGACGCACCATGGGACAACTGATCGCCAAGTTGATGGGCATCTTCGGGAACCAGGGTAAAGGGCGCACAGTGCGTTCAAGCGACCGCTTTCATCCGGCTGCCACCTGGGGCTCCCCGGATCTGGGGTTGGGGCGGATGCGCTGGGGGACCTCGGGCTCCGAGGGTCCTGCGTGGACATTCCTTGCAGACTCCGCGGTCTCCTCTGCCCCTCGCCTGCCCCCCTCCCCGTCCACTCCTCGCCGGTTCCTCGCGGTGGCGCGCTTCGGGGCACCCCGGGGCGCAGGGCTGGGCGAGCCTCCGTCCTCCTGGCTGAAAGCTGCCGCCGGTTTCCTGCGATTGCGACCTCGCGCTCGGCTCTTCCTCCAGGGCCCCTTCTCTTGGCAAGCCCAGGGCGCCCCGGATCTTTCGGACAGCCGCTTTTCTGGAAATGTGGAGCGAGGGAGGCGGGGGCAGCTCTCATTTCCACTGTCCGGGAGTGGCGCGGGCGTCCGGCGCCCCCGGGGAAGGAAACCTGTCCTGGTGGAGTTTTGTCGGGGAGGGGTGCAGGGCAGCAGATGTGGTCCAGTGGGCAGAGGTCTCCTAGCTCTCTGGAAACACCCATCTCCTTCCTGGGAAGCCCGGTGGGGCACTCAGTCCCTTGGACACTGAGTTTGGCCCTGACCTTGCCCTTCCGCCCTGGATGCCTCCAGAACACAAGGTTATCATCGTGGGACTGGACAATGCAGGAAAGACCACCATTCTCTACCAGTTGTAAGTGACTCTCTGATGGAAGGGGTGGGGTGGGGGGCGTCGGTTGGATCTTCCCACCAGACTGACAGACATTTGGACCAATCACTGGAGCCCTTCCCTGGGTTCCCTGGTTTTCCAGTAGCCAGGAGTAGTGATGGGGGTGGAAAGCTGGTGTGATCTTCCTGGCATAATGGTCCTTCAGTTCTGTGGCCCCTCGCCTGGCATTCGAATCCTGCTCGGTATGGGCAACCCCAATGCTCCCTGTCATCCACCCTACACCACCCCGGACCCTTTCAGACCCGGTTGCAGGCCAAGCTTTCAGAAACTTGACTTCTCTTCCTGCCTCCCTGCTCTTGGCTCCCTCTAGCGGCAGGTCCCTCCCTTCTGACTCCTGCACCCCATCTTTGCCTCTTAACTTTCTCCCTTTCTTCAAACCCAAAGGGGAGGGCCAGTTTTGAGTCTGGCTGAGCTCTGTAGCTCCCAATCTAGCAGAATCTGGCTGAGTAATTATCCATCGGAGTTTTTCTCAATAGCCATCTGGATGGCATCTCTCCCCCCTTGGAGCTTCCAGAAAGTGATGACTTAGGAAAATCTTCTCCTGAAAAAGAAATATATGTAAATGTTTATTTTAAACCAGAAAAGCAGAGAACATTGGACATTACAGGCACATACAGTGAAAAGTTTCCCGCCCACCCCCTGATGCCCAGGTCTCCCAGAGGCACTCCCTACATATAAATATGTGAGTGCTTTCTCTTTTAAAGAAAGCACCTCTCCAATAACCTTCGCTTGTATCTGCCTTCTTTTCCCAATCCTTTGCTACTCAAGCATGGTCCACAGACCAACAGCACTGGCATCATCCAGAAGCTTGTAGGAAAGGCAGGACACTGGGCCCCAGCCTAGACTCACTAGATCCAAATCTGCATTTTAACAAGACTCCCAGGGGATTCAACTGCATATGAAAGTTTGAGGACACTTGCTCTAATGTGCCTCCCCTCTGGGGGGTGGGTTTCCACACCAGGCTAGGACTTGGTTTCACTCTTGCCTGCATTTCCCTGTGCCCAGAGCCTTGGCCAACCTTGGCCAAGTTGTTCTGAGTTAGAGGCAGCCTGACTCTCTAGAGCGTAGGGGTGAGGGGCCAGAGCTGGGAGCTGGGTGAGCTGAGTGTTTGGTGTCTTCTCCCCCATCCCAGCCTGATGAATGAAGTGATCCATACATCTCCCACCATCGGTAGCAACGTGGAGGAGATTGTTCTGCAAAAGACACACTTCCTCGTGTGGGACATAGGGGGACAGGAGGCTCTGCGCTCTACCTGGAACTCATACTACTCCAACACGGAGGTGAGTGCAGCACTGGGGCCACAGGGGCCTCAAGGGTAGCTGTGTGGCATGAGCCAATCACTTAACCTCTCTGAGCCTTGGTTCTCCCACTTTGTGAGGTAGAGACTCTAAGAGTGACTTCCCTGAACTGTTGTGAATATTAAATAATAAAACAATAGCTAATGCATATGTTTCAAGTACTCAATGCAGCACAATGTTTTGTTAAAATTTTTGAATACCTCTTGGCAGCGTTGTCTGCTTGCTGGCAGCTTTCTGTGTGATGTGCTGCATGGGGTAGGTCCTGGGTCTCCAGGGCAGCAGTAGATTGCAGTGGTTTTCTTCCTAGAGTGAGATGGAGATTGAGTGTGAATTCCAGCACTGCTACTCACCACCTGTGTGTCCTAGAGCGAGATCTATCATCTTGCTGAATCCATCTCCTTATAGTTTTTTTTTTTTTAAGATTTTATTTATTTGAGAGAGAGATCACTAGCAGGAGGAAGGTTGGAAGGAGAACAGACTTTCCATTGAGCAGGGAGCCTGACACACGGGACTTGATCCCAGGACCCTGGTCTTATGGTGATGCCAGGACCCTGGTCTCATGACCTGAGCTGAAGGCAGACACTTAACTGAGGGAGCCACACAGCCCTGCACCCCCGTCTCCTTATTTATAAATGGGGTTAATACTGGTCCCAGTTGCACAAGGTTGTGGTGGGACCTGAATGCAGTCATGAACGCCCAGGGCTTAGCGTACATGATCTGAGTTGTTCTATGTTCCCCCACTGTCTGGATGGAGGAAGTAATTAACATGAGAGGTCAGGGATCACAGCGAGCTGGAGACCCTTTCATCTGAGAGAAAGCCCACCACTCACTCACAGTTCCCTTCTGCTGGCTAGTTCATCATCCTTGTGATTGACAGCACGGACCGGGACCGGCTGCTGACCACTCGAGAGGAGCTGCATAAGATGCTGGCCCATGAGGTAAGGCCCCTGAGGTTGGGAGAGACCCTGATGGACTAGCCGTGTGACCTCAGCCTACTCACTTGGCCTCTCTGAGGTTCCTTCCTGATCCCCCAGTGTCTGTGAGCTGCTACCCCAGCTAGTTTATCCTAGATGAAGGGCCATAATGCCCTCAGCACAGTTGATTGCAGAAGCCAGAACTGCTGGTTCAGGTGTGATCCCACTTCTCACCCACCCTGGGGCCCCCAGACAAGTCCCTTCACTTCTCTCAGTTTCCCCAAGTATAACATGAGGAGGATCACCAAATTCTTGCCTCATAGGACTGTTGTAAAGATCACATGAGCTGGTGGGGAGGCATTCCATGAGGTGTTGATGTTGGTGGATGTGGTTGCCCCATCCCGCTCCTACCTGGACATGGGCCTCTCTTGCAGAGACAGCAGAGGAGCTAGGGAGGACTCATGGGGGTGGGGGGGAGGCGGAGGGAGGCTAGGCCTGGCAGGCTGACCAGGGCTGGGCTCCTCTGTCCACAGGCTCTGCGAGACGCTTCGGTCCTGATCTTTGCCAACAAGCAGGATATGAAGAACTCCATGACCACCGTGGAGATCTCTCAATTCCTCACTCTTAGCGCAATAAAAGACCACCCATGGCACATACAGGGCTGCTGTGCCCTCACCGGGGAAGGGTTAGTGTCTGCCCCACCTGGACCTCCAGGGTCTGGCCCAACCAATGAACAGCTGACCATCAGAACCTTCTCCTGTTTCTCTCCTGTCAGAATCTAGCTCACTGTTAGCTCCTGGGCCAAGTCAGTTGAGCACTCACTTAACAGCTGAGGTACTGTGGGTAAGCAGTGAGCGAGATAGCGTGGCTGCTCTCAGGAGGCTTATTCTAGTAGGGGGAGAGTCACCTCTCTCTAAGCACAAACATTTTAGGTGCTGAGAGGTGCCATGAAGGAAGTGAGATTGGATTAAAAGTGATAGATGGGGCAGGGTTGGGTCTGATTTAGCCCTGGTGGTCAGGGACAACCTCTATTAGGAGGTGACCTTTGGGCCGAGACCGGAATGGAGAGGAGCAGTCATGGAAAGACCTGAAGGACAAGTCTTCCAGACAGAAGTCACTGATTGTTTCCAACCTTGAGTTTTCTCATCTGTAAGGAGGAAAATGATTATCCTACTCCCTCTTCGAGTTTCTGTAGAGAGAGCAAATGGTATCATTTATTCAACATGTATCTAGCACCAACTTTGTGCTAAGAACTTTTCTAGGCACTGGAGAAACAGCAGCAAACAAAACACAAACCTCCCTGCCCTCATGGAGCTTACTCGCCAGTGGGAGGGAGCAGACAATAAACAATTAAGAAGAATTGGTAGTAAGTTAAAAAGTGGTGAGGCTTGGAAAAGATCAAGTAGGAAAGGGAGATTGAAAGTATGTGGACAAATGTTGCAATTTTAGATAAGGTACCAGGAAGGGGCCACCAAGAAAGTAGCTGCTGAAGGACGTGATGGAGTGAGGTCACGATCACATAGAAAGAGCTTCGAATCAGGCCTGGAAAAAAAAAAAAATCTCTTTCCTCTTCTCTCTCAAGTGGGATCACAGCAGGCTGGGGACCTAGGTGTCTGGAGACTTTAGGCAGGTCTGCCCAAGGACCCACACATTTCTCGTAGTGTCCTCGCCATTCCCTGCCCCAACCTATATCCATCTCCTCTGCTAGACTGTAAGCCCCAGAGGGTATGTCTGTGTTTTCACCAGTAACCCCAGCTCCTAGCATAGGACCTGATGCATAGTGGGTACTCAGTCGGTTTATATTTGTTGATTGGGAGATTGGGTGAAACTTTGGTGGTCCCCTCAATCAGCTCTGAGTTGGGGCTGGGCCTTGGAGGCCATCATCCTCACAGGATATATTGATCCTTGTCGTGTTCCCTCCTCTCTGCAGGCTGCCTGCGGGGCTCCAGTGGATGCACTCTCAGGCCACCGCCAACTGATGTCCTGACCTGAGGCTAACCAAAAACTTTGGGGGTTTTGCTTGGCCTTCATGGGTGGAAGACCCAAGTGACTATTATTTTTCTACAATTCTCTGAAGGCTGCTGGGACAGCAATGGATAGTGAGATTGCCACAGTCCAACCAATCCTGCCACTGAGTGGCTAGGCTGCCCACCCTGAATTGCTGCAGATGGGACAGCAGAAGAGCTGCTCTTCACTCAGTGGAAACAGGTGTCCTTGGAGGCACAGGCAAGCTGTTGGGCACATCAAGGGTTCGGGAAGTGAAGCCCCATCCCCTCAGCCCCCAACCCCTTCGAGGCAAAAAATGGGTGACAGAGTTAAGAGACACCTGGAATTGGTCTTTATTTCCTGGGACCACCCCCCGCCATCCCTTGATTCCTGCCCCAGCTTTCTGGCCCCTTAGCCATCTTTGAGCAAAGGAGATTCCAGAAAGGTGAAAGGACAGGCTCAGGGGAAGGAGGGGAGAGCCAAACACTGGTGGGAAGGGAGAAGGAGAAGGATGGGACATCCCAGGCAGAATAGTCCCTTGCACTTTGGGGAGTTCCACTCTTCCTTGCCTTTCTGTTCCCTCTGAGATGCTGGCTCTGACCACAGCTTTTGAGTGGTGAGCCGTCCCATCCTATGCCCTCCAGTCCTTCCAGTGTGAATCCCACGCCTCCCAAACGTCTTCAATTTCCACAGTGTGCCTGTCTCGATGGTCTTTTGTAATGATTTTTTCATTGTTTTAGAGTTTTTTAATACAAGTGTAATAAATGCCATTGAAAACTGCTCACTTCTTATTTCTGCCTGCTTCTTCTATCTGTGCTTCAAACTGGCTTTTGGTTTTTGTACAGGGCTCTCAGGTAAGGGGAAATCCTCCTTGGAAATGGAGGGGGTAGCGCCTCAAGAGTCCATCTGGCCAGGGGACTGGCTGGCTCTTCGGTCCTGGGCTTTACCACCCTCTGCCAGGTAATTGACTGCTGGTTTGCCAGGCTGGGATCTTTTGGCTCCACCTGGGTCCAAGGGTGCGAGTGGTTTGATGCGGACTCCTGGAGGAGGGGAGGAGGAGCCCTTAGGAATTAGAGACCCAGGAGTCCAATCTAGGTAGAGCTGGAGACAGGATGGAAACCCAGGCTGTCCATCTGTACACATGGAGCAGTGCTGTTACCCCATTAGACCTGAGATGGTCCTGGAGTCCATGGGTTTCTCTCCTTCCCAAGTCAGGCGGTAGATATCTTGGGGACAGTCTGGACACGGTTGTAGAAGGCCCAGGATTTCTCAATCCTGTGGTTTTCCGGAGGCATCAGGGTGGAGAAAGAACTCTGCAATTCTAGCCATTTCTATTCAGATTCTTGGTTCTTTTCATTAGGTCGCTTTGATACAGACCTCAGATAAAAATGCAATTTAATATTCCCTTACACTACAGAAATTCATTCTAATAAGGAGCAGTCAGCGTGCTGGGGGTATAGCTCAGTGGTAGAGCATTTGACTGCAGATCAAGAGGTCCCCGGTTCAAATCCGGGTGCCCCCTCTCCTTGTTGGCCTTTTCCTGTTTTTCTTTGTCCTTCGGTCCATCTCTCAAAGTGCCCTGGCAGGGACGAGGGGGTGTCACCTCGGGCCCTGCTACCCCCTTTTGCAGACAGGCGAGGATGGAGTCTTGGCCCCGCAGAACCACGCGCTCCGCCCGCGTGTGTGTTTCCAGGTGGGAAGCAGCGCGAGAGCGAGGAGCTCCGGGTTAAGCCCGGGTGGACTCCGGCAGCGCTGGGGCCGAGGGCCGGGGAAGGAAGGCGCAGAGAAGCCTGCCTGAGAGTGCAGGACGGAGAGAGGGGCGCCAAGAAGCAATACCGGGGCTCCGACGGGGCAGGAGAGGGGGACCTCGGCACAGGGAATGTCCCCGAAACCAGGGATCGCGAAGGATCTCGAGGGATTTCCCCTCCCACATTTCCAAACTGCGTTTTGCTTACACCGTCAGTAGAGATCTGTAGTCCAGAGCTTCGGGAAACAAGTTCTGTGTCCCGGCGAGTAATGTTTTGAGATTCATATAATTTCCAGCTTTTGTAAACATCAAACCTTTCTTTTGAGAAGCTCGGGCACGGCGCCTGCGCGCTATAGCACTAAGAAGCTACTACAGCCAGACGTCAGCGGAGGGGGTATAGCTCAGTGGTAGAGCATTTGACTGCAGATCAAGAGGTCCCCGGTTCAAATCCGGGTGCCCCCTTGGCAAGAGTTTTTCAGTTTTCCCTGCCTGGGCTACACGTTCTTTGTCTCCGTGAAATTTTCCCCCCTCCAATACTTTATGTAGACGCTGCCTTCGCCACCTCTCTTTTGGGCAGACGACAACTGGTGCACGAAAGACGAGAGTGCAAGAAGCAGGAATTCTCAAGCAATGGCTCTTGAAATGTGATCCCAGGACGAGCACCACCACCTGGGAACGTGTTAGAAATGCAGATTCTCGGCTTCTTCCTAGAAGTATTGAATCAGACTCGGGGGTGACGCCTAGAAATGTGTATAAGCCATCCAGGTGATTCTGATGTACACTCAAGTTCTAGAGGCTCACGTTAAAAAAAAAAAATTCACACGTCACTCTCTTCGAATTATTTCCAAGCTGCTGTTTTCAATCTGAGCCCTTAAAGAGACCTTGCAAACCAGCCCGCGGCTCGCCACGTGGCCGCTAGAGGGCAGCAAGAAGCCGCAGCTGGAGGCGGAGGCCTCTTCCTAGTAGAGAGTCGGCAAAATCGGGATTTGAATTAGACACCAGGAAGAACTTACAGACCGGCCTTGCCTTGTCCCGTTGTAAAGGACTTAGCGTTTAGGGCTGGAGGATGTCGTTCCTGGATCTAGAGGAAGGAGGAGCTGGGATTCTGAGAGATTGAGGAGTCTTTAGTTCTTGTTTCCCTTCTCAGGTCCTGTCTTTGTCCCCAGTGTCAGGGAACTCCCCACCCCCCCACCCACCCACCCAGCCCACACTGTTCCTTCTTCTGTACCCGCCCGGGTCCCTCTTCCTGGGGAATTCCCTCGAGGGCTCTCAGCGTCCATCCGCTACCTGCCTGCAACTGTCCAGTCCTTAGGCCCCAGCCCCTGAGAAACCAAGTGCCCCTCACCCCTCACACTCCCACCCTCCAGGGCTCCCAGCTCCTTGTCATCGCACGAAGTAGGTCGGGGGCGGGAGGGGTGGTGGTGGTGGGGAGCGGCGGGGAACAGGCACCTCTGTGTCCTGACCTGATTCCCTGCCGTCTATTAAATCTAAATTGCGGGTATTTTTATTCTGTCCTGGAAGAAAAGGGAAAAAAAAAAAAAAAAAGGTGATCTCTCCCCAGAGGCTGTCATAAGGTGGTGGCAGGTGGGGTGAGACGGCTTCTTGTTCTGGAGCTGGTTTTGAGGATTGATTGGGACCCTGAGCAGGCCTGGGGTCCCCAGAGAGAAGGGTGGTCTCCGTTACCTTCTGGGGGTGAGGGGAGGTCCGGGCTGTTTTAAAGTAGGGGTAAGCCAGGCCCCCTCCCCCCCCCGTTAGGCTGGTGGGCAAGATGGTGCTGGAAACGGGGAGTGGGGGGCTGGGGGGGCGTGACGGGGAAAAAGGGAGAAGAGTCCTGGGGAGGAGAGTGGAATTCGGGCCTCTGTCGGCGAGAGAAGCTGGGCGGTGGTGGGGTGTCTCTGCGGCTAGGGGACGTTCCAGGGGTGAGGATGGGCATCACAAGCCCCCAGAACTCTGAGGAACAGCCCAGAAAGTCGGGAAGCCGGGGAGACCCGGGGGGCAGGGGTGCGGTAGGGCGGGAGTCCAGCGCCCCGGGAAAGGGCGCCTGCCTGGACCGGGGGAGGCTCTCCCCTCCCACCCGCGTCTCGAGTCCGCGGTTTCCCAGGGGGTGGGGGAGGGGAGGGGAGGGGAGGGGAGGGGAGGGGAAGGGAAGGGAGGCAGGAGCTGAGGTGCGGGGTGGGGGCCACCCGCCCGCTGCCCTACTCCGCCCCCAGCTCCCCCCCCCCTGCACCACTCCCGCCCGGGGGAGCGCTCCGGGAGGGCTGGGAGGGCCGGGGAAGACTCGGGGAGCGCTCGGGAGGCGCCGCGCCCCCGCCCCGCCCCGCCCCCTCCCGGTCCCGGTCCCCGTCTCCGTCCCCGTCCCCGTCCCCGTCCCCGTCCGCGCTCCGGGAGGCCGCCGCTCCGCTCGCTCGCCGCCTCCTCGCCGCCCAGCCCTCGGCGCGCCAGCCCCGGGGACCGCGCCGCCCGAGCCGGGCGCCTGCCTGGCGGGGGCCGGGGCCGCAGCGGCCGGGGCGTCCTGGCGCCCACCATGCGGGCAGAGCTGTGGCTCGCGGTGCTGGTGCTCAGGGAGGCGGCCCGGGCGCTGAGCCCCCCGCCCGGAGCAGGTAGGACCGGCCGGGTGGGTCGGGGCGGGCCGGGGCGGGCGTGGGCACAGGGCAAGTCCCCGCGGGCTGGCGATGTCCGGCCGGGTGGGGGGGCCGCGGGGACTCCGCCGAGGGCCAGGAGCTCCGTGGGCTGTGGCAGGTGGACAGGGACCCACTTTCTTAAACACATGGGGTGTGCGAGTGAGGCTGGAGGCATGGGTCCCTGACGCCCCCCACTCCTCCTTTCCTCCTGGAAGGACACTGGAGGGACCCCAGTAGAGGGGGCTACACATGGCAGTGGGCTCTGGCTCCAGACAGGACGGTGGGGGAGTCATAGGGACCCCTGGCCGCACTGAGGGAGGCTGAATTCTGATGAGATGGGGAATCTGGGGTGCCCCCTGCCCCAGCTTTGCCTCCTCTTCCCTTCCATCCGGCTCTCCACCCCAGCCCCAAGCTGACCCAGGTTGGATCTGAGTCCGTTTCTGATTTAGGGGCTGGGTGGGAGCAGCCAGGGGGTGGTGGAGACCCAGCATCTCTCCCAGAGGAAGCTCTGTAGCAGCCGTCCTACTGCCTTCCTCTCCCTGTTTGGAGCCTGGAGAATAGTCCTGGGCTCAGGAAGAAGCAACTTGCAGCTCCCCCATTCCCCAGTCTCCAGGAACCTCCTCCTGTCACTACTGCTCTGCTCTCCTGGTGGACTTTGGCCGTTAGCTGCCCTGGTTCTGGAAAGCGGAGGGCTCCTATTTGCACACTCCTCTCCCCTATACCCGTTCACAGTCATCTCTCCTGCCTGGAAGTCCTTTCTTAGGTCTACCTTGAGTCTCTCATAAAAGAACCATTTTTCAGCATGCAATTTTGCATTCCCTTCCTTTCTCCTCAAACACCCAGACCTTCTCAGGGGTTGGAGAGGTGGGTAATTTGCAGTCTAGCCTCTTGACAGAATTGGGAAGATAGAGCATTATGCCTCACTGACATAAGTGTCCTTTAAATGGGATAGAGCAGGGGCACGGGGTTGTTCAGGGAGATGCTGTAGTTGGGCTGCTGTGTCTCTGGGGTGTGCTAGCATCAGACACAGCATCAGTGACAGCGTTCTTGACTTTAATGGTCCATGGATGCAGCTGAGACAGGCCTGAGTCCCTGTCGAGGAGGAGGGTAGGGAAGAGTGCTGAGGGTGGAAATGTGGGCAGAGAGCAATGGAAGTTGGTGTGGCAAGAGGCTGCTGGTACAGAAGCACCAGTTTTCAGGTAGACCACACAGAGAAGGGCTGGAGACTTAGCTTCCTGTCCCGGCATCTCACTTGCTGTGTGACCTTGAGCAAGTTACTTTCCTTCTCTGGGCCTATTTCTCTACTTAGAAAGTGAGGCTGTGAGCAAAATCTTTGACTCTTGGTGGTGAGATTATGAGAGATTTTTTTGGTTGTCTTTCCTTTTCAGATTTGTGTTAATATATGTGGGTAAC